TTAGTCCCCTTGCTTCTAATCAAATGATGATATACAAAATCAAAATCATGAATTACCTTGCCATATCCAAATTCTTGCTCTTGCTACATATTGATTTGAAAAAAATACTTTTACTTAATTCACTAAAATCGACGATATAAAATTTTTTATAAAAGTTTTTTTACAAGTTAGCGCGAGATTTCCACCTTGGCGATATTTCTCACGTGTAGCTTGTCAAAATCTGTTGACATCAGTTTGCAATGTGATTGGTCGGAGTTGACAATGGATTCTTGCAAATATTCCCTTACCCTGGGTGGCCGAGTATTTGTCGTGACTTGCAATTCCCAAACCATGTGGAGGCCCGTTGGGAGGGTTTTGGCTGGATTCCAGGCCGACCGCGCCGTAACGGTCGCCGAGCTGCACAAAGTTTGACTGCCGCGGGCTCTAAGCATTCAAAACGGCTGTTAATTTTGGAAATCTCGCTGGATTTATTCCTCGAGGGGATCATTTTAATTTGATATTTTTGGATTAACGTGAAGGGCAACTATCTGGCTTTCGTGTTGTCGAGTATCGAAGCAAGGGGACGCGTTTTAGTCTGCCAATCGATGGATTTTCGAGAGCGGCTCGGTCCGTTGGCCTAATGGAGGTCTCCTTCCTTTCCTTCTTCTAAGTAGTGAGGGGAGAACTCAGCTAAAATCCACCAAATCGTCCTGAAATCGCTACCAGACAACAATAAAAACACAAGGAACACCACATGAAGGTTTGGATTTATTTTCTTTATTTTTTACAGAGTTATAAGCTAAAGAGTAATTTCCCATACATTGCCTTATAAATCGTCTTGTTATATGAGATTGGGCTTCCTGTGGTTTTAGCGGTAAGAGCTACCCGACCATCCAACATCAATTGAGGCTCGTTCAATTCGTTAGACGAAGTGAAGTTTTGAGACAATAGGTCACTTAGGTCAATGAAGCGACCACTAACAATCTGCGACACTAACTTTGCAGGAATCGGTGAGTAACCAGGACACAAGACGAATGGTTGGTGAAGAGTAGGGGCCAAAGGATCCGACAATGACGAGCTTTGTGAGACCGCCCAAGTTATAAACGGTGGAGTTGAGTTGGCTAAGTTAGGACCGAGCAGTCCTGTCGATGGTCCTCCGAAGGCAGAGAAAATGTTGGTAAGAAAGAAGGTAAAAACGACCTACCTCCAGTTGCCTGTATTCCAGACGTGGCTGAACTCCAATAAGTTGGTATAAGGAGCTCTGGCTGCGAGTGGCCGGTTGAACTCGACGAACTGGCTTCGGAGCCGTTGAGATTTGGTTCTTTCGACGACAAGGCAGCCTGAACCGCGGCTTGGATTGCTTGCAGAATCTCGGGAGATAGTTCCTCTGATAAATTCTTAGAATTAGCAGACTCCTCCGACATTATTTCTCCTTGATTACTAGTTTTGTTGTTCTTTTTTTTCAACAACTAAAAAAACCTTCGCTGCAAAAATGGCATGCAAACTAGCTAGCAGCAAACGCGCCCCGAGCAAGGCGCATGCGTGAAGATGACGAGCCGCTTAAGTCGAGTCGTAGTTTTAACTTTGCCTAAACTGCATCTAGCCTCATTAAAATTTGTAATGATTAACTACTATTAAGCACGACCTCACGGAAAACAGTCGTCCTCTAAAATTGCATTTAGAATTTTTTTAAATTTTCTAGACTGAACTTTATCTTTCAAAAATGATATATTCGATTAAGTTGTAGATAAGGGTTTTTGAATTCAAGTGCTTTTGCGCCGTTTAATTGCAAAACATCCATGTTTCTTCAATAAAATTTCGTAACTTTTCAGCGGTTTCTAAGCGTGCGCTCAAAATTTAAGTTCACAAGTTGGTAATCGCGGTAAACAAAATCGTTCTTAACAAATTACTGTTACATGTACTACATGCAAAATAGTAACAGTGAAAACCGTATTTAAAAAATTAAGTAAACAAGACGATGCCTCTCCGTTGAGTTCCTTTTAAATGACTTGGAAAAGACAAACAATTCATTCAGTGATAAAGATATTTCCACAAAATCATTATCACCAAAAAATCGTTCAAGTTTACGCAATGAGACTAGTACAAAGAATGCGTATTTTTGCATTACTTTTATTTATTTATTTTTTACTTACATATATAATAGCTATTTCAAGTATAAAAACTGTAACAATTACTATTGTAAAATATTTGAAATAAATGAATGGTGTGGCCATTCGTTAACAAGAAAACTTTAACAATGTAAGATCAAATTATAAAGATCTCTTGGTGTAATATATTGCGAGGGGATATTTGGCTTCTTTCCACTAACATTTCAACGACCTTCAATTAAAGTACTGAAATTGAGATGAATAGATTATTATCTTATAGAAGATTTTACACGGAATTAGTAATTGTGTTCTATATAATCTAATAAAAATTTCAATCTAGTTTTAATCTCTATCAAAATTAATAATTTTAGTTCTTTGATTGACACGAACGAGACGTCAAACTTTGAGCGTCGCACTTCAACTATAAGTGGTTATAAAATATAACATTACCATTCTAGCTTCAGCAGTTGAAGAGCAGTTGGCCTTTCGATCTTGTTGCAGTTTAGACACATTTGGATATGTGTCCGATGAGCTGGAGATAACTTATTTAAACTGTTGGGCAGCGTTTTGGCTTTCGCAATAGAAATTAATTTTTCCATGACGGAATCTTCCCCCATCCCCTCAAGAACTTCATTCCAAACATCTTCATAAGCCAAAAACTCTGGGAACGTTATTGCAAGAGACCAAATATCACTTTCTTGGGAAACATGTTCTTTCTTCAAAAAGCACTCAGGAGCCATATACAAAAGGGTTCCTTCTAACACCGACTCACCAATGGTAACACTAGCGACAGATAATGTGGCATGTTGCTTAAGTTTCCCTAGGCCAAAATCGCACAATTTCGCAATATGGTGTTTACACGAAACCAGCACACCTACTATGACATTTATCCTAAATTCTTCTGTCAAGTTTTTTTCCTCTTCTATTACCCCCTGCAGCGATTCCCCATCCACGAATTCGGTGACGAGCAGGATATCCTTACTCTTGATGGCAATCCCCAGCATAGTAACTATGTTAGGATGGTGGAGTCGGTTGTGCACTGCTGCCTCCTTTCCCCAGGGATGTTTTTACTGATGCTCCGCGCCTGACTTGCTTGACGGTAACATCGGTGCCAAGCCACGTCCCTCGAAAGACTTTCCCAAATGTCCCCATACCAACTGGCTTTTTCCAGTCTACCTGGAGATTCTCTACAGGGATTTCAATGACGCTGCTGGCTGTTTCGGTTGCAGCAGGATGTGGCCTTTTTGGTTAAGTAAAGCAAGTGTTACTTCGATTATATGCGGAAACTGACAACTGATCTGCAAGCCTCATCTTTATAAATCGATCATTTCCTCTTTTGACTCTCCCCCTGCCTCCAAAGCCTCCAAAGGACACATTCTAAGTTTCCTCAGGAATCTGGCGTGATTCGTGACTTTTGAATCACGCCAGATTACTTTGAGTCACGCCAGATCCTTTGTTCACAACTTAAGCCTCACATCGGTGCGAGTTTTGAATTTGGTCTATGGATGGGCATAAAAAAAATTTGTTAGAGAGATGCAGAATCTGTAGCGTCACAAACGATACTACAGGAAATGTCCAGCTATCGATCTGAAATTTGAAATTGAGACCGCATGGTCAATGAACGTGTCCTTGGATTCACCAAACATTTATCCGAGGTTTCTTTGTGTGAAATGTCGCTTAATATCCCTAAAAGAAAATCATGAGTTCGACATGAAAAGAAGATACAGCACAAGAGTTGTTCCCATCGAGTGGAAGGCTTCATACTACTTTTGAGATTGACAAGATCTTCGAAAAACCGGGACCTACAGATTGGCTCTATTTTAGACAAATACTGGACCTTTTTTTTTTTAAAAAAATATTAGATTTACATGAATATTTAATTACAAATTGCTCTTACATTCATTTGCAGCACTTAAATAAACCTTCAGAACCGTAAAAAGTAGTCGAGATATTGGTTGTTCACTTGTACTCTTCCGCCAACGAGAAGCTCACGTGACTGCAATATTTACATCGAAGCAGAAACAATAGAAACGTGATGTGGCACCGCTCTCCAGATCTGGAGCTAATCCCAGACTGCTTAGTAAAAACAAAATTATCGTTTGTGTGTGTGTGTTGTCGTTCTGTCACCACTCCCCTCCGGCGATAAAAAATCAACTTTGCTAATGTAATTACATAGTTTTAAAGAGCAATTTAAAATGTGAATATTATTTAATATTCTGCAATATGGCAGTGAGCCCTAGTGATTTTTCACCTGAAATCAAGGTAATAAGAAACCCAACGACATTCCACGATGGTCGGCTGCTATGGCTTTTCCTCCCACATCACTCTAAACTGAGAGTTTTAGGCGATTGACAAAAGTAGAATGCATACATCATAATGAAACTTAGCAAGAAAGTAATATGATTAATAAGCTATCGACTGATTTACGTTTCATGTCATGTGACAGCTATTGTGACGTCATATATTATGTCCAACTTTGGCACCGGCTTAAAAAATTTGGAAAGAGATGGTAGAAAACTAATTTTTTAAATGACGTAAAGCTACAGCTAATTAAAGAAATTCAAATTTCCCGCCACATTACCATATTCTCGACTTTCACATAATCCTTTGCGTCTTTAGGGGGTTACCAGAGGATAAAAACCCACTTATTTTGCTGAAGGTTGATCAGACAATGTTGAAAATACCTTGTTTGGTATCCAAAGATAAAATGAAGAAGTAAAAAACAGAAAAAGTTAGAAGCTTGAAGAAGTTTAAGGTAAATTTTAAACATTTTTTCGTAAGTCAATACATTTTCTGTAAGACCAAAACTCTTCATGATCTATACACGCAAAAATAACTTGGAATTAACTGATAATCAGTGTTGTACAGATAAAAGCAGGTATAGTATAAATTCAATTAAGAAACCTTTCAATTTGGGACAGTTTTTTGATTGGTTACCCCCCAAAAACGCAAGGCATTATGCACACCCACACTATTATCAAGTCCAGACACAGATGTCTGTTTCAGGGCTTAAAAGTCGTGACTTTGTCATATACAGCAAAAAAAGTATATACATTGTCCAAATAGACTTTAACAAGCAATTTTGGGATGACGTTATATCTAAAGTATCTATGTTTTACGAAAATATGATAATCCCTGCCTTATTGTTGCAATCGCAATCATTGGAATCACCCCAAAGATGAAGTGGTAAAAGCGATGAGTCACATGATTCCAATACCCAAGATCCTGAATACCAGCCATCTTCTATAGAAAAAAGCAGTGAGGATCTATTTCAAGATATTGCAAGGGATGATTCTATTATCCAAACTGAATTCAAAAGCTGTGAACAGTCATCTTTCATAGAAAATAATTGTGACGAGGTTAAATTTCAAGATACATGTCTTGCAAGTGATGATTCAAATATAAAATCTACGTGTTACACCACTAAGCTTGATCTTTCAGAATTGATGGTGTTTTTGAAGAGAGAAGACACAACAAAGACATTAGCAAATTTTATTGCCAGTGGATGTCGTGATCTACAAAAGTTTTCTTCAAGATAATACTTTATTCACTTCGATTAAAATTTGCACTTTGCAGCACAAAGAAAAACAATTCTATCCAACATTGGCTTCAAACCAAGTGGGATGACTCCTGACAAAATACGGAAATGTTTCAAATTCAATATGTACCTTTCAAGGTGAGATCTCAAAGAAGCAACACGTCGTGTATGTGTTGCTCCTCTTGCAGATAATCGGCTGCCATGGCAAAATGCAGGAGTTATATGTTATAAGAAGAGATAAAGGATATAATGCCATTTGGAGTAATTTCAATAAGCAATTTCACTGTATTATGCTAGCCCAAACGTGACAAAACTTCAAGTTGCACTATTTCGTGATCAAGCTGTACATTTATACATCAAGTCGTACATTTTATACATCAAGTCGTGCATTTTATACATCAAGTCGTGCATTTTATACATCAAGTCGTTTGTGATGACATTAAAACGTTTGTATTTTATGTCGAGTCATTTGTTTTATTTTGTATTTGATATCAAGTGCGATGTTTGAAATCAACAAGGCAAGAATCGTTTAGGGCTTTGCCACTCGCATTGACGAGAGAATGCAGGATGCAGTCGGGAGAAGATTGCTTTCGATCAGCCAGCAATCGGGGAATGTCAGCGGTAGTACAAGCATTATCGAATGGCGATGGCCAAATTACAAGTGCAAAACCTTCTGCTAACTCCAAACCTCGAAGAATTTTTTGCAGGTTTACTTAGACTCATTAATGGCTGTCAAAGTTGCTTTCAAGGAAACGTGGACGGTGGTTTGGCAGAGTTTCTATGCAGACGGCTCCAGGAATATCGACTTACATTGGTTTCAATGCTCGAGAGATTAAGACAACATCGTCCACTTTCAACCACAGTCTCACCCAGGATATTGAACATTTAGTTGCTCATATTAACAACAGAATGGAAAGGTTGCAAGGACTATATAGTGATTCTGAAAGAACAGGATCTCAAGATATGTTTCCAAACTTGGAAGGAACATTACTCTGTGGTACGAATTCCTCAAGTATTAACATGACTGGAAGGCCACGCTATGAAATTGCACAAGAGCAAATCGAAGGATTGCGTGCCGTAGGATTTCGTTGGGCAGATATTGCTAGAATATGTGGAGTATCATCTCTAACAATCATTCGTCGACTGCAGGAATTTTATATGCCTGTTGGTCAAGAAAATAATTTCTCTCAAATATCTGATATGGACCTCTAAAGACAGATCCGAGAAATACTTACACTGACACCTCAGTCTGGTCAACGCCTTGTTCTCGGAGCTTTGAGGTCAAGGGGGATATTGGTGCAAAGACATCGAGTTATCCAGGCTTTGCAGCGCCTTGACCCTGTGACGTCCGCTTTAAGACAATCCAGAAGAATCGTTCGCCACACCTATAGAGTCCCTGGTCCAAACTCGCTATGGTAAGTTTATTTAATATGCACTTTCATTAGGAACCACCCATCCGGGGGGTGGGGGGAGGTGCGGGCAAAATGTGGGGATTTGATAGCAAATCCCCTGGAATGGGAATTTGATCAGAAATTTTGCCATTCAGTTGATATTTCTTCTTTAGCTTTCTATTTTTTCCTTTTCACCCTTTGCCCACACTAGCCCCCCTCAGGGTTTACTTCGATACATATAGGTGCATTAAAATAATAAAACAAATTTGAATGTTGTTTTTCTGTAGTTGATTGTCATTATTTCACAAATGTTTGTCCATTGGCATTATTGATTGTTAGTCTTGGATGGATGATTGTATAAAGGCACAATTGTTTGTGCGTCTCAATGCAAATTTCACCATTGAATGTCTATTCTCCACCAATGATTGTCAAATGATGCAATTGATTTTCTTTTGGTGTGAATGATTATGCAATGGGCAAGCATGAAAGTACAAAATGTGCTATTGTTTGTCCGTTGTTGCAATTGAATGTCCATATTCATGTGTTTTATCATGTATATTTTGTAAGCAAAGAAATGATACTCTTGGGAATGGCATGTATGAGAGTTCATCAGGTCTGGCATGACTTTGCGTGTCATTACATAATGCCTTTTTCTGATTGGACAAAACCTTTTTGGGGCAAAACAAACTTACTTGACAACCTCAGTTGTTTTGCCTCCAAAAACATATTGTCCAATTGCAATAAGGCATTATGTAATGTCATGCGAAGTAACGCCAGACCTGATAAACTCTCATTTGGAGAACATAGTAACGCATGGAATAAGATCTATTTATGTTCTAACAATAGTTATCACAGAAATAATAGTTGTGACAACTATTATCAACTTATTAATTTTATTCTTCTCTTCTAGGCATATTGACGGGGACCACAAGTTGATAGAACCATATCGGTTTGTAATCCATGGAGGGATTGATGGGTTTTCCAGGCTCATTGTGTACCTGAGGGCATCAACCAACAATCAGGCTGATACAGTACTTGGTCTTTTTAGGGAACCTACTGAAAACTACAATGTTCC